TAAAAAAAAAAAAAAAAGGAGTGAGACAAAATAACTGATACTAAGAAGTACTCTATTTTGGTCTATTCAACATCTAATTTGCTAAAAGTAGGCAATCGTATAAAGTATTAGCCATACACTTAATAACCATAAAACTGTTGGAGTTTTTTTTGTTTTCTTAAGAAATGTAATTCCTGCTCCACTAGTCAACTGATGCTTCTTCTGGTCATTTTTTTACTAATGAAATTTATTTTAGGTCACACCAAGGCTTTCTAGAAATGATGCACATTTTGGGGGGGAACAGTAGAGAAAACCAGCACATTGTAAGGACTCAGCACATAACTACCTAAACATGAGGGGTTTAATCCCAAAATAATATAATAATTCATGAGGAACATTTCAAGTAAATATTTCAAAAAGACATCTAAAAACCAGGATGCCAGAAAACAATTCTAATTAAATATAATTCCTCCCCAAAGATTTCTTAATATTGTAAAATGCTTAAGGGACAGAAGTTTCAAAGAGAAACAACAAATCGGTTTTAAAAGTATAATACTCAAGGGACTCTGACCTTCCATGCAACAAACAAAAATCAAAACAGTATATCAGTAATAGTGAAGCCCCAAAGCCAACAATGCAGTACTTTCCCCTAACTACAATAAGCCTTGTATTCCCAAACAGAACACTGTTATCATATGAGCAAAGGCCGAACAGTGTGGGCCGCGTAATACTAACTCCATCTGTGTTGTTTTTCTTTGCTACAAACTGGGACACAGGATAGTGCATTTTGTTGCAAAGTTAGAAATTAACATTAAGGATCTAGATGTGAAATCATAACTTCTAGTTTTAATTTGCTATTCAGAACCTTAACCCAGCATTCCATACAGCACATTGCACATACCCCTCCTTATGACTTCTTATGCATTTGCCAAGTGTATTGCAAGTCCCTAAAAATTCTATGTGTATGCATGGGAGGGGGGTGAGGAGCGGAAGCAATCTAGCAGGTTTAGAAATGGATAAACTTGAAGTTTCAAAAGTCTGCTTATGAAAAAAAAAGAATACATACCCTTGAGGACAGAGTTTGTCCAGCCATCCCGATTTAACCTTCCTTGCAGATGATCCATAAAAACAGGCATAGGGAGATATTGTAGTTGAGGAAATGACTGATGAATCAGCATTTCCACTTGTGGAGCTTGACGGATAACTGTGCCTATTAACAGGGTCTAAATTCAATGCTTTCTGAGTCCTAGATTTAGACGCCTTTGAATTTTTTCTTTTCAAACTCTGAAAGCATTCTTCTACTGTTGAATATTCTGACTCAGAAGCAGAGTCTATGGGAAAATTGTTTTTGTCCTCTCGAGGTATCCAAATATCTTCCACTTTGTCCTCACTTATATTCTCCGTCCTGTTATCGTATATGCTAAACGGAAAAGAGTGGTATGAACATTTCAAAGCACTATATGTCATTTAAGCCACTGGTTACTTTTTAAATTTATAGACAACCAATCACAGAAATTTAAGGCTAGGAAAACCTTAGCGTTTAATTAACCCATCTGATAATTTTTAAAGCTCTTCCAGAAAAATTAAATAGAAATCTCTCATTATCCTAAGACACATTTGAACACTACTGGAAGTAGCATATCTTTTCCTATGTATCACTTAAACTGATCTGTTTATTTGGGGGTTTGAGTGCAGTCGGTAAGGATGGAGATTGACTGTATTCTTTGCCTCACAATTTAAACATCTTCGCCAGCACTATTAAGTGGCCAGCACAACCTCTCTTTCCTGTGCAACATCACAAACCCCTAACTCATCTATTTGGAGATCTTACTTCCAACTCTTTGCCCCTTCTCTGGCTCTCCACTAATTGACTCCAAAGACTCTATGTTCCATCAAAATGTAATAAAACAGGGAATATGCCTAACTGGTCAGAGTTTTAGGATTATTTTGCAACGCTAATGAGGAAAAACTGCACCACGTTACCTAGTAAACAAGAAAGGACCAGGATACATTCAGAAGGTAAAAGCTGTATAACATGTAAGATTTACTGGAACGCATTCATAATGGCTAAGCATGTTGCTATAGATTTAAGGAATGACAAATAGATTCACTCAGCCGTTTATGTATATAATAAAACTCAACACAAAGAAGTTTTTGCTAATCAATGAAACAGATACGCCTAGGGGTCAAATTACACCCTTCTGGATATAGTGTTCTAAAAACCATTACTTCCTTAAAGAATGATTTAACCTGGCCCCTTTCACATCTTGCACTGTAATAGGCGCGTATCAAATGCTTACCGAAGATACTCAATTATTCACTTTCAACTTAAGGAAACCCCTAACCGTGTTAGCCTTGGAAAATGAAGGATAAAATAGAAGAAGAAACAAATGATAGGTAATGATGCAGTACACCAAGTCCTAATAAAGCTGAGAGAAAAATAAAATTTAAGTTGGTGCCTCTCAAACTCTGTTTAATTTCACATATGATCCAAGTAACTGGACAATTGTCAAGCCACTTGTCAATGCTGAACTTCTAATAAAAAGGATACATTACATTTGTACAAACTCAGCACCTTACATAGTGACATTTTTTGCACTGTCCTTTCTCCTTCATGTTAACATAACTTCTCCTTAAAGTGCAATCATAGTCACCACATATTTGCCACTTTGGGGAAGGAAGAGTGGTTTCAATCAGGAAAAGACAAAAATAATCTGCTAGAGAATATCACTATATATTTGATTTACAGACTTTAAATTTAATTATTAAAATGAGCTCTGTTATCAAAACATTTAGAAAGATTTGAACTTACCAATGTAAACTATTTTCTTAGAAATATAATGTAAGAAGTCAACTTTGTATAAAATTTTATTCGAAAGAATTAATCACCATCAATCATGACCTCATACCTCGATTTGACCAAAAAAGCGTTTCTTCCAGTAGTTGCTTCCCCTTTGAGCTTTTCTTCATGGGTCCAAAATTCATTCTTTATAGACTTCTTCTATAAATAAAACATACACTTTTTTTACTGTAGCAATACTCTACAAAGAGCTACAATATCTGGGATTAGTTTTATCAAACAAACATCTAATTGCTTAAATCAATTTTCAGTAAAAATAATTTAATTAAGGAGACTATATTAAACAGTGGTCTTTTGATGCCTTTTTCAATAATGTTATTTAAATAATTAATATTATTTCAACTATGAAAAACAGAAGATGCTAACCAAGAACAAAATTCATTTACTTTTACTTCCCTGCTTTCTTTTTAGTCTTCCAACTTCTCTTTTATCAAAACCAAGAAATAAAACAGCAAAAAAGTACAAGTACTGGAGAGGAAAGACTGAGTAATAAGCTGAATAATTAAGAATAGTTAGAAGTCTGTACTTGAGCATAAGGCAAAGCAAAATCTAAGGGGGTTTGTTTTTGTTTTGTATGGGGTTTTTTGGTCTTTTTTTTAAAAGTAACTTATCTTGCGGCATATTTTAAAAACCCACTATCTGTATTCCTGAAATTGAATTGAAAATGTGTTTTTATGATGTATATTTAAAGTCATAATTTACCATGATTTTACTGAACAGAATTTTACTGGCTGGAAATTTCATTCTTCAAATATAACACGTTCTTCAAGCAGCTTATGGGAAAATGAAGAGGCAAACACAGGCAGAGGAGCAAAGAATTGAATGTGGAAAAAAAATTAAAATGTATGGAACTAACCTTGGAATTTTCTAGTTTCGGGAAGAGAAAGGTCTCTCCATAAGGAAGTATGGAAGATGAATTCTCCTCATTTGAATCTTTCGGGGAAATTATAGGATGAGAATGGAAAGATGTAAATAATGTAAAATATTGTTACAAAAAAAAAAGGCATGTGTTTATTTTATAGCAAAATCACTTCAGCTTTATTCTCTGCAAGTCCAAAATTATGCTCATAATTCTTACACCAAAATCAACTCTCCCCATGGTGTTCTTGATGTAGCACTCACTGTATCTACCCCTCACTTCACAATCAAGACATATTACTCCCTGTTTGTTAAAGTGTGATGTGTCATATATGTCCTTGCTAACCTCGAAAATCCACATAAACATAACCAAGCACACTTTCCACGTACAATGGAAATTGTTATGGTGCCATTTATAATGTTAAGTCCTAAATAAAAGAATAGTATTAACAGCAGAAAATTAAGCTTAATTCTATTACAATTTTCAATAACCAAATATTAAAAATTCGTGAACAGCTAAATGTTATATCACTCAAAATGCCAGAATCCACTTAATATAATCCCTCTAATACCACACCTACTACCACACCTGTAAATAATTTATTTCAAGAGAATTTCGACCATCCTTGAATTACACTGTTCTATAGGAAAGAATTCTCAACACTTGCATTTTCTTCTATGGCACTTTTTTTGTAAAGGTTCAGTGTTTGCCATTTTATTGTCAAGAAGAATGTTCCTGAAGTTGTATACGCAGAATTTTCAAAAAGAAAGAAAAGCTTCTGTCAATGATCGATTTACCAAAGAAACAATGTCAGCCTTTTCCTGTTACCATGGCAAAATTACTTTCCATAAATCTATGTCTTGTAGCTCAGACTGTCAGACAGCACTTAATTTAGTTAAACGCCTTTGACTGTGGCTAATGATAAATGAAGCCTGTACAAAAAAATCTTTTTATATTAGCATGTGCAAATTTCCAGGAGTCTTAGTATATATTACTGTCTTTTACTCACTCACCTTTAAAAGTGTCTGAAATACCACAAACCCTAGCAGACAGTTATTCTCATTATTCCACAGGTGGGCTGCCTTCTCGGCCACGATTTTAACACATTTAAGACTATCAAATGAGTGCTAACTAATTTACGGAGACTTTAAATGCTAAGACTCACTTTGCTGTGTCACAGATTTTCCAGTTGAGGTAGTAGCATTTCTTCTCTCTCGGAAATAGCTTAAAGCAAAGGGAAAAATAGGTTAAAATAGATAAGTAAAAATAGTTAAGTTACTCTCTTGAGTGAAGGATTAATTGTAAAGACACACATTCTTTTGGGTAGAAAGACCAATATTCAAAAATAAGTTTGATTTTAAATAAACAGAATGGTCAAATTCCACAAAGTGTTTTTCTAAATAGCCTTAAAGGAAGAGATTTCATTGGATTTTACAAGTGTCTGCGTCTCACATTTATAATTCACAAAAGTAAATGAACGTATTTGCCCAATGCTAGTATGCACATAATTTCAGCACTGCTAGCCATACCCTTGTGAGCAACAAATTTTCTAAATAGATTTTAGTATTTATGTAGCTTTTTGTCATTAGCTTTATAGTTTTGAGTCAAAAATTTGTCTGCCTCTATAAGCATAATATGAAAATACACAAGACCTCAATTTAAAAATGGACAAAAATTTGAATAGACACTTCTCAAAAGAAGATACACTAATGTGATACCAACCACCTACTCATTAGAATAACTAAACTTAAAGTTGTAAATACCAAGTGTTAGAGAGTATGCTGAACAACTAGAACATTTAAATACTGCTGGCAGGAATGTATAATTGCTTAGTAGTTTCTGATAAAGTTAAACATTTACCTAATTTAAGCTCCCAACTATCCAATCCTAGAAACTCAAAAGAATTGAAAACATACGTCCATAGAAAAATCATTCATGGTCTTTCTTCATAGCAGCTTGATCCTCAATAATCAAAAACTTGAAACAAATCAAATGTACATCAACAGGTGAATGATAAACAAGGGGTGGCAGAGGGACCCAACGCAATACTATCCAGCTTGAAAAAACAAAACTACTAAAAAGAAACAAACTAACACTAAACATAATATGAATGAACCTCAAAATTATCATGCTGACAAAAGAATCCAGGCACAAGGAAGTACACCTACATGATTCTATATGGGGGTGTGAAAGAGGGATGGGTTGTAAAAGGCCACTAAGAAACTCTGAGGAGTGATAGAACTGCTCTCTTTCTTGATTGTGGTGATAATTTTATAGGTTTACACATCTTTCAAAACTCAACAAATTATATGCTTTAAATTGGTACAGTTTATTATACAAATATACCTCAAAGAGTTGTTTAGAATTTAGCAAACTTACTGTTTATTAGGTTGATACATAAAATATAAACTATATTCCTAAATATTAGCAAACAAAATAAAAAATCAAAACCCAGGAGTAAATCTAACACAAGATTTGCAAGAAGTCAACTAGAAAACTAGAAATCATTACTGAGAAAATTAAAGAAAATCTAATTAAATGGAGGAATATATGAAAGACTGAATATTGCAAAGATGTGAATACTCACTATATTAATCTGTAGAGTCAATGAAATCCCAATCAAGAATTAGAGGGGTGGATATGTGTGCAGAATTTTAACAAGTTAATTCTAAAATTTATAAGAGAAAGCAAAAGACCAAGAATAACTAAAACATTTTTGAAAAACAAGGTGAGAAGACTTGCTCTACCAGGTATCAGGATGTATTATAACGCTATGGTAATTAAGACACTATGTTACTGATAGAATGATAGCTAAATAGATCAATGAAGTAGAATAAAGAGTCCATAAAGGGACTCCATTTTCATTTAAGACGAAGATGTCAGTCTTGAGCAATGAAGAAACCATGTTCTTAATAAGTAGATCACTTGTATATCCATATGGTATAAAAAATCTTTACTCCTACCTCAGACTACACACAGAAATCAATTCAAGATGGATTATAAATCCCAGCATGGTAGGCCAAACAATAAAGCTAGAAGATAAAATAGAACATCTTCATGTGTCTTAAGACACAAGAAGTTCTAACTCTAAAGGAAAATATGGGTAAATTGGACTAAATTAAAATTAAGAACTTTTATTCATTAAAAGTCACCATCAAGAAATAAAAAAGCAATATACAAAAGGGGAGAAAATATATTCAAAAAAGGGCTCATACCCATAGTGCATTAGTAACTTGTAAAAATCATTATGAAAGACAGAAAATGCAATTCAAAACACCAACCAAAAAAAAAGGGTAAATGACTTGAAAAGGCACCACACAAAAGAATATAGAACACGGTCAATGACCAATAAACACATTAAAAGGTGCTCAATTTCATTAATCATCAGAAAATACAAACTAAAATCACAATGAAATATCACTACCCACCCATCTATACAGCTAAAATTTTTTAAATAACCAAATGTTGTTGAGGGTATGAAACAAAAGGAATGCACATACACTGCTGGTGTTAATATGAATTAGTATAACCACTTTATAAGAACCATTTTCATCATCTACCAAAGTGGAAGATAAGCATATCCTATGACACAGCAAGTCTACTCCTAGATATATATTCAACAGACATGCACAGAAATATGCTCCAAGAATAAAACTACCCAAATGTATGTAAACATACAAATGGATAAATAAGTTGTGGGAGATTCACACTATTCAACAACAAAAATAACTGACATGTAGCAACATAGATGCATCTCAAAACACCATGTTGAGTAAAAGATGTCAGACATAAAACATTACTTGCTATATGATTTCATTTATATGAAATTCTAGAGTAGGCAATACTAATTTATAGTGAGATCAGTGGTTGCTTTGCAGGGGGTACGGTAATTTACTCCAAATGCGCAAAAGAGATTTTTGGAGGTGAAAGAAATGTTCTATTATCTTAATTGTGGTAGCGGTCACGAGGGTGTATATATTTGTCAAAATTCATCAACCTGTATACTTAAAATCAGTCTACTTTATTATATGTAAATTAGATATAAATAAAGCTGATTTACAAATGTGTGTACACATAAGTATATTATTTATATGTAAAATATCAGATGATGTTGAGAATATGAAATAATTGTCAACAGTAGAATGGATATCATGGTATATCCATTCAATGAAACATTATACAGCAGTGAAAATGAAGAACCAACAATAACAGGCAGCAACACAGATAAGTCTCAAAGTTAAGCTAAATGAGCTTAACTAAAATATTCACTATATGACTGCATATATTTTTTAAAAGTTCATAAAACTATATCATTTGGGACATACCTAAGAGGTAAAATATTTTTTAAAGGCAAGAAATCGTGGGGCCAGCCTAGTGGTGTAGTGGTTAAATTCGCACGCTCCACTTTGGCAGCCCAGGGTTCGCCAGTTCGGATCCTGGGCGCGAACCTATGCACCACTCATCAAGCCATGCTGTGGCGGAATCCCATATACAAAATAGAGGAAGATGGGCACAGATATTAGCTCAGGGCTAATCTTCCTCAGCAAAAAGAGGAAGATTGGCACTAGACGTTAGCTCAGGGCTGATCTTCCTCAACAAAAAAAATATATATATAAGCAAGAAATTGTTATTTAAAGTCAGGATAGAAGTTGTCTTTGGCAGGAGAGGGGCTTACAAGTTTACCAAAGGATTAAGAAATAATTCACCCTTTATTTGCTCATTATCTCCAGATTCTTGATACTGTTATACAGCTATAATTGTTTCCTCAAATTTGTATGTTACTGACACAGGTACATATTGATAATTTGAACCCTTGAGTAGAACGGCACTCAAATTTTCTACATCTTTGGTAACTTGTGCTAATAATAAATATTGCTAATTCTTATTAAGCATTTACTCTATGTCAGACACAGGTCTCAGATTTTGCAAAAATATACACACATAGTACATATATATCTATATAACCTATAGATTATACAGACTATATGGATATACATACATATAGTCACAAACATTCTCAGAAGTAAGAAGTATTATTATCTGCATTTTTTTAAAGAAGAAAATTGGCACACAAACCCGTTAATTAACTTTCCCACAGTCACACAGCTCATAAGTAACTAATTTGCAATTCAAACCCAAGCAGTCTATCTCCATAACCCCTATTCTAAACCACAATGCTTAAAAAAAAAATTCAACCTTGGGGCCGGCGTGGTGGCGTACTGGTTATGTTCACATGCTCCGCTTTGGCGGCCCAGGGTTCACAGGTTTGGATCCAGGTGTGGACCTACGCACCGCTTATCAAGCCATACTATGGCAGGTGTCCCACATATCAAGTAGAGGAAGATGGGCACGGATGTTAGCCCAGGGCCAATTTTCCTCAGCAAAAAGAGGAGGATTGGCAACAGATGTTAGCTCAAGGCTAATCCTCCTCACCAAAAAAAAAAAAAAGTTCAACCTTAATTTATTGAAAAAATATACAAATTTAAAAAAACGATTTTGAACTATTTACCAAGTCTATCAACCAGGTTCATTTGATCTACTGCAGAAGAAAGATTAGTTGAATACAGAAAACAAGCTGTTTTGAAAACTGGTGATTAGCAATTTATATTCTCATTTATCTACGAAAAAATTATCATAGCTTTTTATATTCTAATACCTATTACGCCCAAAGCAATATGTTAGAGTTTACATACCTACATCTCATATTTCATCCTCATAACAGCCCTATGAGGGAGGTCCCAGGGTCCTAATCCTACCAATAAGGAAAAGAGGCTCTCCCAGCCCAAGTCCCACAGCTAGTAAGAGGCAAAGCCAACATTCAAGGTCAATTCTGTCCTGCGTGCAAAGCCTGCAGTCTTTCCTCCTTTCGGCCTGCTATTTTCCCACTAGTTATCCTGAAAAAACTGCAGACTGCTTTTAAATTTGAAAAATAAAGCATAGATTTGCCAAAATTGAAAACCCACAAAGAAAAGCAGTAGTTATCACCCTCTCTTGTTACTATGCTTTTGTGATCTCAGTCTGGTTGTTACCTAACAGCTCTGAGCCTGGTTTCCTTTTTTATTGAAGAAAAATAAAAACAGGGCCTGCTGCCTAGGAATATTATGAGGGTTAATGAAATAATGCCTTTAAAGAACACAAGGTGTGCCCTACACAATGAAAACACTCAGCAAGAATGAGCCAATTGTTATTATTTTTACCAGAAAAAAGAATGGTTGGTCCTCCTAGTAAACTGAATGTGCACATTTGTTTCTTAAAGTACTTAAAAGTATGAACATTCTTCATCTGTAATAGTGAAAAATGTTAACAACCTAGTACAGAAATACATTGTGTTTTTTTCCTTTTAATAAAATACTATACAACAGTTATTGTATAAAATATGTGCACCGATGTGGACAAATCTCAAAAATAATATTAAGTGAAGCACCAACTTGCAAAAAAAAATAACTCTGATTATCAGAGTGAATCTTCAGCATACCTACAGATGTTATTTTGTCACATATTTTTTAATCACTAAAATTGCCAAGAAAAGCAGTGGCAGAAAGGTTATTAATTAATGTAAAGATCTCCCTTTATGATCTACGCTTACCTATTACTTAGGCAAGGCAGCCACACTAAAAATATAATCAATTACACACCACAAATGGACCATCATTTCTCAGAATGTTTTGTTTAAAAAAAAAAAATGCAGTTCTTACAATTCATAACAGACTAACTATAACAGATGAACTATGGGTCATTACAGAATTGAATTCAAAAGAAAACACCACAATCATTAGGCAGCAGTTTAAAACTGCCTTGAGGTCACATAATACCCAACTAAAACACACAAATCTGAATTCAGAAAACATGAGAGTGAGTATATTAACTACAGCACAGACCAAGAATGTAAATTTACAATGCACAGATAATTATCTCAATCTATGAAGTTCCAAAAAATGTCCTTAAGATAAGAATAAATGATAATTACAAAAGGATTACAACACAAAAGTCTACATCATTATCACAAAACTTTTTTTTAACTAGCAAAAGTTGCAGTTCAAAATATATTTTTTCAAAGTAGAGCTTTTTAATTATGAAAAATAAAAAAGTGTAAACGTAATGTCTTTTTACTTGTAAAAAGTATCCAGCAGATAGATACCTTTATCCTCTAACAATAAACCAAACTATTAACTATTTAAATTTTGATTCATTATTTAGATGCTCAAGTCAAAATTTTGCAAATATTGAAATAATCAGTCTATTTTTTCACAGAATTTATAGAAATGCATTTTAAAGGAAAAAAGTCTGAATTTTAGATTGTTATAGCATTTTCTGCTATAACATAAAATGTAAAGTTTTTCTTGAACATGAAAATGGATGAGTTTCTGTATTTTTCTTATTCAATGCAGCCAACAATTGCTTATTACTTTTCTTTATATTTTTTACTCATATATATTTAGATATTAAAGTCTAAAATACCATTATCCATTTCTAACATCTATATCATGTCTGTGTACATCTAGAGAAAAATATCTAAGATTTCTATTTTTAATAAAAAGTTCTAAGAAGGCTGGAGACTTCAGGTGGACGTTTCAAACTTTTGAAAATCCCTCAGTCAATACAGTACCTCAGTCTTAGAATAAGTTGTAACAGGTGAACTCCAATCACAGTGCAGCCTTGCATACCATCCTCCTCCCCTTTAATGTGCTTCCTTATTTCCCTCCCCTCAAAACATTCAGAGGCATAAGACCTAAAAGAGAGGGCTTTGTGACTTGTGCCAAGGATAAAATAGTTGCATGAAAGATGTATAAAAATCACTACACTGGGAAGGAGCATAAGAAAGGTACCTCACCTCCTCGGTAGCTGAAAAATACCTGTTCCTTCCTTCCAGCCTTGAGCACTAAGGAAGATCTTCATGGAAATATCACAGGATGTACCTATGACTCCCAGGGAAATGACAAAATGCTGGCAGGACTCCTTTCTGCTTGGAGACCTCGAGGGGAGGCCTTCAGGTGAAAGTGATAAGGAGGAGCTGGCTCTTCAAGCCTAGTCCTGACCTGGCCCTCAGGAGACAGGAGTTAAAAAGAGATCCCGAGGTTCATTGTCCAGCATAGCTGTATCCAGCCCAGTCCTCCCAAGAGAAGGAGCAGGCAAGAATTCAAGGAAGACGCCCAAGGCAAGAACAGAAAAAATCCATCTGACTAGAGAGTCCGTTGCATCAGATAAATTAGGAGGGGAGTGGGGTACATTTCCAGGGAGAGAGAAACAAAGGGCCTCACATCAGGAAAACACATCCAGCATCATATTCCTTTGAACAGTTATATGAAATGTTTTAACTAGTAAAGAAATTACGTTAAAAGCATTGGCCACAAAGACATATTTTTACTTGGTACATGAAAAAATGTACTAAATATTATTTAGATGTTATTTGATTAGAGAGAATTTCGGATTATATAATCTACATTTTATTTTTCAAGTCACATTATAACACTTCAAAATCTTGCAATTACTATTTGCAATTCAGGCGAGGACCACAAGGAAAAATAGATAGCGAAGTCTGAAAATAATGTACTTTCTGATTTTATGATTTGAGTACCACAAATGCATAGTTACCATTTATTGCCATAATCAAAGAAGAAAAGAAAGGTTACGATGGGTAATCCGGCAGTGCTATGACGCAGTTAGTACTAAATTATGTATTACTAATCTTAACATTATTTCAATTCTCATTTTCAAAGACTCATAGTCACAATGTGAAGAACAAGCTTTTCATATGATACAACGCTTATACTTACAACTAAATGATTCTCAAAAATTTATGAAAAATAGTACATCTTGTTTAAAACTTAAGCCAAATGTTTCTTATCTGAAGTCATCCTGATGGCTCCCAAAAGGATTCTGTTCTGGCAAAGACATAGTTTTAATGCGTGTACTCACAGCAGACTTTTCTCACTTTCTTTTAATTGTTTAGAATTAGCAAAATATTTTAAAACTAGAGTGTCATACAAAAACTGGTTAACTTCTATGTTCCTAATAAATACTCCAATTCTTATATAAGCTATCAATATGTTTAAGAATACTTACTAAATGAGTAGTTAAGAAAGTGGGTTCTGGAATCAGATGTACTAGAATAAAATCCCAGTTCACTACCCATGTGATCCTGGAAAAATTAACCTAATTTTTTAGGTTTTTCTTTTAGGTCTTTCAGTTTTTTCTTGTTAGAGTCATGGAGTCAATTCTGACACCTAGTGACCCTGTGTACAGCAGAGTAGAACCCTGCCTGGTCTTTTTGCACCATCCTCTCACTTCCGGTGCTATATCAGACAACGCTCTGCTGCTATTCATAGGGTTTTCATGGCCAATTTTTTTGGAAGTGGGTGGCCAGAGCCTTCTTCCTGGTCTGTCTTAGACTGGAAGCTCTGCTGAAACCCGTCCACCATGGGCGACCCTGCTGGTATTTGAAATACCAGAGGCATAGCTTTCAGCAACACACAGCCGCCACAGTGTGACAACCGACAGACCGATGGTGTGGTTCCCTGACCAGAAACGAACCTGGGTCACAGAGGTGAGAGTGCCAAATCTTAACCACTAGACCCACCAGGGCTGACCAAGGCTGTTAGCTTGGGGGGGAAAAATGTATGAATAATACCTACTTCACAAGGCCATTGTAAGAATTAGACAACACACGGAAAATTATAAACCAAACTAGCACCTAGGTGTTACTAAATGACACTCTTACTATTGATTTCCTAATAAATACTAGACATTGCTATTGGTACCAGGGATGCCAAAATAAAGATAAATTAGGGCCTCTGCCCCCTCAAAGAGTTTATGCTCTGATGGGAGGTACTTAAGTTAACATAGTCTTGTAAATTGCCGCATTTCTCTTGCAAATACTAAATTTTCACATTTTCTCTTGTGAAGACAATCAGGTCTTGCACTGTTAATTACCAAAGGTGCCTAAGGGCAAGAGAACCAGCAGCAGGGACAGAGTGGATACAAGGGGCCAGCCAAAGTGGATACAAGGAAGATCTTGCAGAAAGACCAGCCTAGAGCCAGGGCAGGAAATCTGTAATTGCGTTTAGTGCCACAGCAGTAACAGTCAAACCTGAGCAACCTCACGACTCTCAGGAGAGAGACAAGTGTTAGCTTTTCGTGAAAAAAAATTTCCCACCACAACCCTGGTGAAAACCACAACTGTTTTAGGTGTAACTTTGAGAAAGGGATGAAAGCTCTTTCTCTGTAAGTCAGCTCCTCTTAGACTCCACAGCTACCTCAGGGTACCGGTGACCCCACATGCTGTTAGGCCCCTCTTTAGAGTTCCGGTCTCTAGTGGACCTGGTCCCATACTGTACTGTTACCATCTTTTTACTTCTATCTTCTACACTGTACTTCAAGCCTCTTTATTCCTCTCTGTCTCCTTTGTGCCTAACACAGTGACGAGTGTCAAGTAGGTGCTCACTAGATGTATGTTGAATTACTAATTCACGCTAATCATTGTGCCAGGCAGTACAGACACAAACTCGGAAACACGGCCCTGCCAAAGAACAAATAATCTAGTGGGGAGACAGAGTCAGCAACTCAAATTTGAAAACTGAACTCATGGTAGAATATAATACCAGGAGTGGAGGAAGGTATGTGAAGGAATATCCAGGTAGAATTAGGGGAACAGAATTCCCACAATTAGATGGAGAAAGCTCAAGAGTCCCAGGCAGTTACAAGTTGGAAACAGATTCTGGGAAAGAGTGTACAAGAGCAATGGCATGATGAAAAAGTTGTAAAACAGAAGAAAGAAAAGGTTGGTTGAATAGGCAAATTAACATAAGTCAAATTTAGAAAGGAACACTGAAAGTATAATTGTCAAAAATAACTAAATTCCCTCATATTGAATATTTGCAGCTTATCATAAAAATTCTTACCTCCCTGAAACTCCTTTTGTCGTCCCTGGAATCTCTGGTACAGGCCGATGTCTCAGCATAAAAGATCGAGATGGTCTTGAAACCAACTTGCTCCGACTTCTCGTAGGTGTTAGGACCGGTGACGATGGAACATACAAATCATTTACAACCATTTCTCCTTGAAAATGAAAAAATGGGGATGGTGGTGGTCCTTGTAATAAACCATTAGTTCCATTTCCAGAATTTGCTTCTGAAAGTGAAGAGCCAAGGGAAGAAAGACATTCAGGGTCTGCATTAGGAAGCTTGCTCACATTTTCTGAGATCAAATCAACTTTTTCTGTTGGTGGCTCTTCAGTTGCGCAATCTGTAGTCTTCTTTGTAATTAAAGATTCTATCTTAATATTGTTACTACCAAACAGAGAATCTTGAAAAGAACCCAAATTCAGGTGTGGTTCTTTTTCTGGAATGGGAAAGTTGTGTTTAGGAAGAGATAGCTTATCATCTGATTTAAGAGACTGGCTATTTTCCACAGTAACATCATTTTGATCAAGATTTTTTGTAACAGTCTCCAACTGCATTGGGCTAGGTGTCTGAACACCACCTGAATCTGAAAGTTGTACGCAGGTATTCTGATCAGAAGGTGGGGCATGGCCATCCTTTGAGGTTTCATCCTTCTTCGTTTTATGAACATTTGCATATACTGGAATATCTTGCATTCTTGACAAGATTATCTGTAACTGTTTAAGTATCCTCCTCCGGTGTCCTGTAGGTGATATTCCAATTTTGTGTAGCACGCTGTCATTTATTGCTGCACAGTCTTTTACAGTATTAAAACCAAACTTACGGAAGTGTAAGAGATACTGCTCCAAATTAATGCTCATTAGGAAATCTTTGATATCAACATTTACTTCACTGACTGAGGACATAATGGTGGCTTCATTACTAAGCTGAGTTATAAAAAGCAGTACAATGGATACACACACAGGAGAGTGCACTTCTGTATTGGTTTTTCCTCTATCACTTGTGACAGAAAAATGTCTCAAAATGTTATTTTATCCACAGTGAATGCTCTATGTGCTTAAGCCTGGAAAAAAAGAAAATTCATTTATTAGAACATTTTAGTTATTAAAACCTAGTTTCACATTGTAAACTCCCCCTGAAGAAACACAATAGAAATGAAGATAATTACTTTCACTCACTGAGAGTTTAGAATCTTGGGCATTACTTTGCATGCCCTAGAAAGTGAATTCCTAGGCAGAGCATGGAAGGTACAGGACAGAAATACTATGGTAGTATCAAATGCTATTTTCAAAAAGGTAAAAAATGACTCTTAGGTATAAAAGTAACATGTGTCAAATATTTTATTCAACTCATTCACTAATGAAGGAATCAGTAAGATGGTAAGACTAGATCCAAGGTCATTTGTGGAACTGGTGTATACAGTCCATCAGAAAAGGCTTTTTTTTTTTAAGTGTTAGAATAAGATGGGTAAAAAAAAATGGTTAATGTCCTACAGGGCGATAAAACCATAACCTTCAGGGTTCTCTTTCTACTGGACAAAAACCTATAAGCTAACAGGTAATTTCCCAGTTCTGGGTACTAACCAAATAGTAAATAGAAAGTAGAGAACAAAAATTAGAATTAAATATCCCTAGGGTGGGCCTGTTAAACAGTACCCCCACAAGGCACTGAAATAACATGCTGCACATTCTTTTGATTTCCAAATCTTAGATAATTCGCCTTAACAGTAACCAGCTATTAACAACTTTCCCCTTTAACACACTTTCTTCAAAGACTCTTAAAAAGCACAGTTAGAACATATTTCTCAGGTCAATAATTTTCATTTCAAAAAAGCAGCAGCATTATATGTACAATATTGATATACAAGATAAGACTAGTTGACTAGTTAATTCTTAAATACGTTAGGTAACAGGAAATAAGTTAATATGAAAGTAAAAGGAAAAAGTTTAAAGGTCACATTTTCCTCCAATATACACAGCAGATTCATATAGGTTCATTTTTCTCCCAAACATCAAAAATTTTTTTTAAAAGTTGATTTATCTAGGTGCTGTTTATATGGCTGTGTTCAGTTTGTGAAAATGTATATGTGCAAATTTCTGTATATTATGCTTCAACAAAAAGAAAAAATACAGAATATGCATAACACCCATATACTGAAGTAATAAAATGAGACACACCCAAACAAGGTAAAGTTATCTGAACAAGCGCTGAGAATTTTTCTGGAAACAATGTTTGTGGAAATCACATCTCAAAACAGCTCTCCAAAAGACACAACTCAGACTCTGCATGTGTTACATGCCAACGGCCCACAAGCTATTGCCTCAACTACTTAAAATTATCAGCCAACACTGACAAACAGGTATATGGAAAAAAGGGAAAGCACATATCGTATTCAGGCAGCCCTGCAGGAGCAGAGAAATAAAAACACTAACGCATGACGAATGGAAAGAAATGTCTTAAGGTACCCTTCGGTCACATTCAAAATGATAAAATGTTAGGGAAAAAAGGAGAAAGTTAAACCTCAACCCCATATACAAACCTAATTTCAGATATATCACTCCTTTTCTACACAATTATTTTGTAAATAAATGTATTATCTAATTTTTTTGCACATCACACAATGGAAATAATTTTTGTCAAATCGGCTGGCACCTTGATCTTGGACTTCCCAGTCTCCTGAACTCTGAGAAAATAAATGTTTTTTTTGTTTTTTGGGTTTTTTTGCAGGGAAAGATTCGCCATGACCTAACATCTGTTGCCAATCTTCCTCTTTTTTTTCCCTCTTCCCAAAGCCCGAATACATGGTTGTATATTCTAGTTGTAAATCATTCTAGTTCCATTTTTTTTTTTTTTGATCATATCTAGTTTGGTGGAGAGTGTGAGGTTAGATAAAGGGGCTTTCTTTTTTCTTTTTTTAGGAAGATTGGCCCTGAGCTAATATCTGCTGCCAATCTTCCTCTTTTCCTTTTTTCTCCCTCAAGCCCCACTACATAGTTGTATATCCTAGTTGTAGGTCCTTCTAGTTCTTCTATGTGAGAGGCCGTATCAGCATGGCTTGATGAGCGGTGAGTAGGTCCCTGCCTAGGATCCAAATCCGTGAACCCCGGACTGCCAAAGTGGAATTCTCAAACTCAACCACTACGCCACCAGGCCGGTCCTGGTTCTAGTTCTTCTATGTGAGCCGCTGCCACAGCACGGCAAATGATAGACAAGTGGTGTGGTTCCACGACTCAGAAGTGAACCGGGGCTGCCAAAGCGGTAAGCGCCGAACTTTAACCACTAGGCCATCAGAGCTGGCTCAAAATGTCTGTTTTTTATGCCAGGCAGTCTGTGGTACTTTGTTGCAGCAGCTCGAAATGACTCATACACTCCTTGGTCCTCGCTGCCCTTGCCATGGTTCAGACTCTCATTATATCTCTTGTCTGGATTACTGCAACAATCTTTGAACAAATCCCTCAGCCCAGTCTCCAATATCAGTGAACCACTGAAAATCCAAATTTAACATGTCACTCTACATTCTCAACAGGATAAAGTCTAAGCTCCTTATCATGCCAACTATAGCCTGGTCTTGCTCTAATAATAATAATAGCAGCTACTATTGATGTAAACAGCAATTATATGCCAGACATCGTACTTCATATATATTTCCTGCAAGGTAGGTGTTCCTATGTACTAACTCCAAGCTCAAGTTCAACCCGTGCCAAACATTCTACCAACATCCTTCACTCTAGCTCATTATTGTTAATTATTGTTCCTGAGGCAACAAACTGTTTAATAGCCCCATACCTTTTGCATGTACTGTATCTACTTGCAGATCTGAACATTTTGCAAAATCCTAGACACTATTAAAAATTTTGAATAGGCAAGTATTACCTCTTCTGTGAAGGCTTTCTATCAACCCCTTAAAATAGAATGAATCACTCCCTTCTCCACATACATCTATAATTATGATTCTAGAGCTTTGCAAAGTGCTTGGAACATGTTTAAGAAACAGAAAAGAGGTTAGCAGGGATAGAAGAAGTGATTGAAAGGCCCATTTTGTTAGTTTTTTGGTGCGTGTGCCTGTGTGTTTCAATACACAAAGCTCTTTCCTTCCCTTCGAGTATACACATATACTTCACGGGTGGCTGAAGCAAGGGTGAATACCCAAATGTTCTACCCAAAATCATCTCTCACCTATCATTCAACTGCTGAATATAAACCCGATTCCTTTTCATGATGTGGAAGAGGCTCCCTTCCACAGGCTCTACAATACTCTCTGCACTTTAATGTCAGCTCCAACCTAAAATCACTGGACTTTTTAACTGTCTGATCACCCAAGGGTGTTCACAGATCCAGTTCTTTCTTTAGAGGCTTCTAGCCCATACACACATCATCAGCTGCAAAACGCTGGACATGCCCAACCCTACAAAAGTCTACCACGCGCAAACGCCTTAATATGAAATCGAAACCCTCCACATCTTGACCTCCACTTGGGCACACCAGCATGCGTGCTGTGTTCTGGTTAACGGCTCTTCAGGCCCTGGTCTGTGGATCTGCTGTACAGCAACAACTGTTGACAATGGGCCTAGGAATCTGTATCTGTAACACACCCCAAAGATGACTGGGACATGCAACAAAATTCAGTAATTACAGATTTAAAGTCCTCACACTCCCCAAATATGCTTTATACTATCCCATCTGAGGCCATCACTCTCTTCCCCTAGGATGGAATGTCCCTCCTAACACATTCCCCACGAGTCTGGACTGAGACTCAAATCCAACCTCCTCCACCTTCTAGCAGTGTAAACATAGGCACAGGTCTGTCTGTTTCCTTACCCATTAAATGGAAACACTCAAAGGTACCTAGCGCTGGTGAAGATTAAATGAGATTATCCATCAAAAGTGTTAAAACAGTGCTTAGTACATGTTAAGTGCTTAGTCAACATTCACATCATTATAATTATTTATTTTCATCACTACAGTCATGTTGCCACAGCTGAAATCTTTCCCATTCTTTGAACTCTAACTCAAATGCTGCTATCTTCACAGGGGTCTCTACTGAACAAGAAATAAACTCTCTTCTCTGTATTCCCACAGAATTTACTTCTTAGAGCATTTAATCACATTCCATTCATTCCATACTAACCAACCTACAGAAGCGGGATAGTGCAGCACAAAAGCCAAGATTTTGGAGCTAGACAACCTGGGTCAAATCTCAGTTCCACCACTAATTAGTTTTGTGAGTTTAGACAAGTATTTAACCTCTCTGTGCCTCAGTTTCCTCATCAGGAAAATAGAAGGAATAATAGTACCTTCTTCATAGGGCTGTTGTAAAGCATTGAGAACACCAACTATGCGTGACAAATGTTAAATAAAGTGTTTGCCATTACAGTTATTGTTTTATTATCCCATAATAAACTAATAACTCTGCCAAGATGATGGGGAGCCCATACAAGCTGCCCAACAAATGCTAGTCAAATTACTTGTTTATAAACACAATGCATGATGCAGACGTAGTACATGTTTAGAGAATGGACAAACAGTTGGCATTACAGACGTGGTTGTACACTTGTCCAGCATATCCTGACCCCTTTCAAAGAGGAAGTAAAAGGGAAGTAACATTTAGGAGCACCTGCTACATGCTTGACTTGTGGTATCACTTAATACACATTATTTTACTGTCTTATTGAGCTCTACCTTGAAACTACATCCAGAACCAACTACTCACCACCTCTCCTGCTCACATCCTAGTTCAAGCCACTAGCTTGTCTATTTTAGCCACTATCTTGACACTACAACAGCCTCCTGACGGATAGACCTGATTCTGTCCTGGCCCCCTGCCCTGCCACACAGTATATTCTCAATACAGCAGCCAGAATGATTCGTTTTATAACAAAAGTCACACTACATCACTCCCTGTGACTTCCCAACTTCATCTTCCCTGGCTTTCCCCTCCATCACTTAATCACCACCAAGTTAGTCGAAGCCCTATTCCCACCTCATAACCTTACCTCTCGCCCTTCCTAACATGTACCCATGGCTCACGGCCCACTCCATCACTTTAGTAGATGTCTGCTCAAA